TGATTGTTAGGTCGACTGTTAGCGGATTTACGAGTGCGTCTATCTCTACAGTTGCAGTACAGTACACGGTAATGTATATATACATGTCCTATGTATCCTGACTACGGTATTCATCAGTTGCCTTGTTCACAAGCCCACCACGTGATACTTCGCTTTGCTCCGTACTCATAACCTTATCTTAGAATGTCTTCACTGCCGATGCCTAGGACCGTGCTCTGCATTCGTCCCAAATTAAAGAATCTCTGGTCGTACGTCCAGTTACGTGGCTCAGATCCCAATCGTAATATTCGTTCTCTTCAATTAACGGTGACGAAAGACGGGAAGTTTTGTATTTGATTGAAAGACTAGGCTATAATTAACTCACGTTCTTTCTTTTGTATTAGGAATTATTGCTACAAGGAGGCCTTCGTTGTGAATGCAACCCACATAGGGAGAATAAATAATTTTATCCGTTGTCACAATATGAAGATAACTCATTTTATTTATTACTTAATTGAGAATAGCCCCAAATGATCTGAGAGCGTATATGGAAGCATTATTAAATACCATAAGCCTGCGCACGTTGGTCTGGGAGTTATTTCCCGTTTTTTTATCATTAATTTTGATATTCTGATATTTTTTGTTTGAAGTGTAGCCCCGTTGCCCGAGCAGTAATCGCGGTATTAGCTCCCAATCGATGGCGACAGCTTGGGCTAATAGAGAACAAACGTGCATGGGGATCGAGACTGTTGACCTCATTGCAGAAAGATTGTCGCGTGTATACGGTACATGGCCGGCTTATATATAGGCGCCGTTTGCAGATCATTCACATGTGTACTCTTGCTAGCTGTAAAATGTCAATAATATCAGTACAGGATTTGCTTGTACTATTCCCTGACCTTCAATTTCATGTGTTGTAAAATGAGTAAAATCCTCTCAAAAGCGTTCTCTGTGCTCTGTATTTTTCGGTTGATTTTCATTTCTTTATTCCGAGCTCGAGAGTAGGTTGTTGCAAGAGATGATTTTATTTAATATAATCTAGGAGTATTTAATTGCACCGGAGGTTCAAACACGAGCCCAGCATCGAATTGTGGCGACACCGCGACACATTTCAACTGTTTTGATTCAGCGCTGCCAAATCAGAGTAACACATTACTGGAACTCATATTTTGATGAAAACGAGCGTTTTCGAGAAATGTTAGGTTTTGTATTTATCTACTGCGCAACAACTTTGGTTTAGGTTGGTCATCCAACAGATTGAATATATAGATTGAACGTTCAAACGTAAAATTTACACGTCGCTTAAACGTTGTTCCGAAGTTATTTGCGTGGAGGGATGCATACAGTGCAAAATCACCATTAATTAGCAAAGCTGCGTTTGCTGATAATTTTGTCTCCGCAATATCAGCAGCGAGATAACGGCGAGTGAACGCATCTATGGCAGTGAAAGCGTTATATACTTAACAGTGTAACTGAACTAAATGATTTATTTCACGAGAATACTTTATACTTTTGCTTTAATTACATAAAAGCATGTTGACAATCTGATCAAAATTTATGATGGTAGTAACACGTGATTATTATAATAATATTTTATTGTAGATGTTAACTTTCACTATTTGCTCGAATTTGCCGTTTATTCATTCATTAATACTCAACTGTTGGAGCTTGCATTCAATTAAGTACTAGCAGCTTGGCAATTCTCGTGCACGAAACTGAACGGTGTTATAGGCACTAGATCGCTGGCACGGCATGGTCCACGCTGTTGTCTATCGTCATTTATCAGGCTGTTCGCTTGTCCCGCTCAGCCTCAGCGTTTGTTTCATCGCCACTGAGCGAGACTTGAGCTTTTAGGTTACGAGGATAATCAGCTTGTTTTCATGATGATTATGTACAGCAAACTGACCGACGGGTAAAGTAAATTGATTCTTTTTGCTACTAGACCCGTTTTTTTCGCAGGACTCGCCTTTTATTAAACATATTTTGGTTGGGTTAATTATTTTTGATAGTCGGGCTTAATTCTTGACAGTATTATAAGCTTTAGTAGGCAGATTTGTAAGTCTGCCAGGTGTTTTAATAAGCTCACGAAATGTCACATGCTCTATCAGTTCTTTACCTTTTTCATCGTTGAGAAACCTTTTTTTTATCTACTGCCCTTGGCAAAACTATCAATTACTCTATTAATCTAGACTGGCCTACTTTTTAATACAAAGAAACGTGTCATCGAATTCATACAGACCTTGCGTACTATTCTTAGTCAGCTATGGCTGCAAGAATATTCCTTGAAAAATCACTTCGGATTGTACAGGTAGTCCTAAATTCCTGAACTTAGTTAATGACGAAAAAATTTAAGACATTTGGCATTGATTATGTTCTTATTTTTGCAGTCTTTTTAACCTGTACCAGCATTTGAAGTCGGCGACATCCTAATCTCGTGGTCTCAAATCCCGCTGCTATTTTTCAATATAAAGGAATTGTAACAAAAGAAAAAAAATCGTTGGAATTCAAATTTAAAATAAAATTCAAATTAAACTCCTTTCGAAGCTCGAATGCTTTTTGTGCAAAAAAAATATTTAAAAAGCAGTATAATAATTAAAAAATATCCCGACCCGATATGTCTTGTGAATACGTAATCGAACCTTTATATTCACGGTCTCAGACATCGAACAGAAAAACTTTTTCTAGAAAATAGCGCTTATTTCAGTGATTTGCTGTTGCCATCAGTGTTAGCTCATGAATTGGTTGTTGCTTTTCAAGTACACTGCTTTTTATCGCCTGTAAGCCTATTGGTACAGTTTGTACCGCGTTTCATCATGTATTTAGTTATGTCGTATTTTCATATGTGAAAAATTAATAATTAAAGAGAATATAACAAGATTAATGGACGATATTTGAAGAGTTCGATCTGAAATCTGTTGGATTTCTACCGGTGGTTGTTTGTTTTAATAGTATACAGAATTTTGTCCCATAATCAACCACGTAATAGAAATGAACAAATTCTACGCCATTAATGCAGAAAAATATATTGAATATGCAGGGGAATATTTTTCAAAGTTTATGCATAAAATACTTATATATATGTTATGAATCAAGGAATATATTCCTCCATAGACAATAAACCTCGTCAAACTCGTAATAGTAACTACATATTGTATTTGTAATTTATCTCATTATATCTCAAATGACCACATAATACAGAAATTCCTGCTGTACAGTAAGACACTGTTATTGTTCTGAACACGTCTTAATTGATATTCAGAAGTTATAGGTGCATTTCTCTATTAGTAATCCTGTTTAGTGGTATACTCCAGGGACGAACCAGTTTGTCTTTCGCAACAATTTTTTTACTGTCATTGCTGAGCAATAATTTCGACGAGAGTGTATGACGTCAGCACGAGCGTGCAATATAAAAGACATCGCGCAGGATTTGATCAGCAGTCACAGAAAACGTGCCCCACAAGAACCATAATTTCTGTGCTGCTTTTGAACTGTTCGACGCTGCACACGCTTGCGCAAGCCTGCATCGTTTCTGCCGTGCATTTGAATTGAGGCTGTACCTGCTTGCTGTGTCGGATCAAACTAGTAAATTCTTCTGGTACTTGCAATCAAAACTATAATCCAACTTACTGGTGATGCATATTTGCACCACTTACTTGTACTGGACTTTTTGGTTTGTCATTGAAGTCAAGGAATGGTAACTGATAAAGACGAGTTACAGAGCTAACTCATTATACAATTTTAGGCTAAATTCTAAATTAACTAAATTTCGAAGCAGGAATTGAGAAAATTGGCATGCGGCTCGTAGTTTGATAAAATTATTTTATTGGTTCGCTTCGGTTTGTCAAATTCCATATCACTTCTCGAGTACCAAGCCAGGACTCCTGATCATTTAGTAAGCTCTGTCAATTTATTAGCGTGCGCTAAAAAAATATGTTATCGATTAACGTATTAACGTATAATACCATAACTTCCAAAAATATGTTTGAGTACAGAACAAGAATGTGATGACGTACGTGCTTCGCGGTACGGTCGTTGCTATTCTCATCGCAGCTCAGTTCTTGTTCTCCATGAACTGGTTTCCCTTGTAGGAAATACACGCGTGTTCTCATTTGGGCTGCGCGTGATTAGCTGGGGCGCATTCGTTGCCATGCCGCCCAGGCTTGTTATATGCACTCGACACCAGCTCTGTATCTTGAAGAATGTCCGGCCAATTTTATTTCATTCAAATTCATGAGCTTTATTTTATATTTTTGTGCAGTTCAGACGAATATGACATTCCAACCTCGATTTGTTGATGGTCATGAATCTTTTGTTATTGAAATGATCGGTGTGCTCCTGTGAGCTTTGTAGGCTGTTGTTCATCACTGCTGCTGAGTTCAAATTGTACTGAAGCACATGTTCGAGGCTCGCCATCTTCTCAGTTCCGACTAGCATTAGAAGTCGAGACAACTTTCTGCACATGTATTTCAATTCCCTATGAGAGATAAACGTGTACTCGTATATCTATAGTTTTTGTTCTTCATGTCTACTTCGCCATGTTATATTTCACTGTGTTCCAAAATTCCGGTTTCAAATAAATTTCCCAACCCCTCAGAATAAAAAAACGTTGCTTATTCGTTACGCCAAACTATAATTTTAAATGCCAGATAGCAAAAAAAGCAGTCGAAATCTGCGAATTAAATGAAGCCTGCCTCGCAAATTAAGATGAACCAGGCCACTCTTATTAGTGAATATGGTGTTCGTTCGTATTGTTATAATGTAAAACATTTGCGAATATTAAGTACGAGCAATGCTGGAGGATAATATAGTTGATGGTTCGTTTGGTTGTTGGTGCTTACTAGATAATAGGTATTTCTTTAGCATTGCTTGTTTGGTCAGTATCATAGTCATGTTTGATAATGATTGGTATGGTGTTATAGTAAGAGGTTGTGGGTTTGATAATAATAATTGGTGTTGTAGTAATAGGTTGTGGGTTTGATAATAATAATTGGTGGTGTAGTAATAGTTAGTGATGTGCGCAGGGCCTTGCGTGGTGGTGGACAGCTTGTGTCTGCCCGAGGAGGACGTGAGCAGCTATGAAGCCATCAGGTCACTGCACCGCCTCCTTGATGACGACAAGAGCGGCCAGATCGACATGAACGAGTCCGTCGAGGTCAGTCCACTTATCTAATTTCGATTCAGGTTGCTGATGAAAATAATAAAACAAGGAAAGTACAGAGTTTAGTTATCCTGTCGCGGTCGTCGTGCAAATATTGGCGGTATTTGTGGTACCGAATTAGTGATGTGGACGGTGGTGCGCAGTGGTTTTGGAGACGGTGGTTCATGAAAGTGTGTTAAGGAGTAGCGTTGACTGTATGATCTCGTGTGCAGTTCCTGAAGGAGGAGCTGACGATCACGGACGGCTACAACAGCCGTCAGAGGAACCTGCACAACAACAGCGACCGCTTCATCTCTGTGGAGGACCTCTGGTTCATTTGGAAGCGCAGCGAGGTATGCCTTCGTCTCCACCCCGGTCTGAGCACTTCTATAATATATAATATTATGATTCTATAATATATAATTGCGCTACATATAATTATAGACTTACGCTAAAGATTATTATAGACTTGTGCTGCAGATTTGTCCACGTATCACATGTTAAGGAATTTATTTTGCGACAGTTCACTTTAATTTTAGAGTAGTTCACTTGTTCACCTACTCCTGTTGTTTACCTATATTGGATAATATATCGCAGTTGTGTATGGTGCTGTTTGCTGTATAAAGATGACTTGCAATGAGACATCAGTCTAATTTTACACTACTAGCAACGCTCTCGCCGCCATTATAGTGATCTGAGGATCGCCTGACGTTCACCATGCGTGCAGGTGCACAATTGGACTGTGGAGGAGACGGTGACGTGGATGAGCGAGACGGTCGGCCTGCCGCAATATGCTGACACCATCGTGTCTCATGGCATCAACGGCTCCTACCTGCCCAGGTAACCATCGTGTCTCATGGCATCAACGGCTCCTACCTGCCCAGGTAACCATCGTGTCTCATGGCATCAACGGCTCCTACCTGCCCAGGTAACCATCGTGTCTCATGGCATCAACGGCTCCTACCTGCCCAGGCAACCATCAAGACCAGCCAATTAACGCTGTTCTTCATGAACAGGGAAATGGATCGTCCAGTCAGGTTTTAACATCTCTAATATTCTATGCAGGACCAGAAGTCTTCATATGCCGCGGTAAACTTTTCGTGACTATTTTGTTCTGTTTTGTTTCTGCATTTTTAGCAATGAAATTTTGATGCCTGGTGGGAATTTGCCTTGGCCGTGACTAATGGGCCCATCTGTATTAATGTGTTTCCTTGCAGGCAATAACTTGGCTTCTGGTTTAATGCTGAGAGTAAATGTAAGGCTCCATCTTACACATGAGTACTCTGGAGTGCACATTGGTTATCAGCGCACAAACATATTCTTACTCCCTGTTTAAGAATCTCACGTAGCGATTAGATAAACTAACTGATAGATGCCCAAATTTCTTGTAGTTTATGATGATAAATTAGCTTAAGAGAATGACAAAGTTTCAGAGCGCTCCATGCATCTCTAAGTCGAATATTCTTGGACTACTAGAGACTACAGTGGCACTAGGATAGCACTCAGTATTCGTGATGCTTGCTGAGGTAAAGATGTCATCGTGACCACAACTTGTTGCCGAGCATCATGAATGGCTCTGCATATCATCTCTCGCTGTGTCTTTTGTTTCGTATTAATAATCCTTGTCAGATTGAATGAGGATAATTGTACCTACACTCGGTGCCATTATAACGTAATATTATGCAGTCCGCCGAGGGCTAATGGCGTCGTGTAGATGAGCTGGTGCATGGGAGTTAGGATAGGGTTGATGTGTGCAGGGCACTTTTTTTTGCTTTACCAACGAAATTATATATGAGCGCGTTTGCATGTGGTTCTTTGTTAGACTAGTTGGCATCACCTTATATGAATCGTATTCTTGTAATTCACTCCTACTTCATTTGAGCCTGTCAGTATGCTTGTTAGTTATCTCTCACTGCACCATGTTGGCTGCTCGGAGCTTTGTGTTCACTCATTCAGTGTAGTTGAATCCTCATTATTCTCTTAGGCTTGAAAAAGAAGGCAATTTCTTAATACTACGGTAGTTTCGAAAGGAAGGCTATTTCTAATACCAGCTCCTAATGAAAAGAAACAAGTGTAGGTCTCTGCATGGTTCGCAAATTTTGCTCTAAAATAATTTCGATCGCTGCTCTATCAGCTTTTGAAATTCGTTCTCTCTCGCACAATATTTTTTCGTTACTCGTCATTTGCCGCTTATGACATACAATTTTTTTGCTTGCTACATTATTGTGCCATTGAGCCTATTTTGGTCGTGCGACGTCACTACTTTCCTCGTAACAAGCCCCATTATCGGCAGCCTAAGCGTTCTTATCTTATCTCAATTTCCTATTTATTATTTCACTCGACAAATTCCCTTGCGTATTCGCCTCAGGTTCTCGGGTTATGCACTCAAACCACAGCTGTTTTAATTGTGCTGCACTGTACAAGCAACTGATATTCGTGCCGATGCAGGCTTGTGACACGCGTCTGTAGTCTGGCTTTATGAGACTATTGACCAGATAACGATGAAGCTATCAGCTTGTATCTATTGGCATGTTAGATTCGGCGTTAGATAGCAATTATTTAATACTCTATAGAAATAGTAAAATTAGATGAGAACGTTAAAGGGAGAGTAGACAAATGATTGGAAATGCATTCATAGTACCATGACCATTCATGGTTGGGAGGAAGTCTCTGCTACCTAGTATCAAAACTTATTTTTTATTTCGGTTTTAAATATTACTATTTCGGCTGTTCATATCAGTTTATAGTTCTTCTTGTTAATAATGTTTTTTTAATAATGTCAATAAATGTTTTTGTGAGGGAATTTGTCGTTCGATTAATGTGAACAATCTGTCATTATTTCTACACATCTTGTGTTTCCATGTCTTCTCCAATGAAACTTTTCTTAAGATGATCTTGAGCTAAGAAACCTTGCGCTGGTGCTTTTTGTTAAACCTTAAAATGGTTTATAGTAAAAAGCGAACTCGAGTAATGGAAAACTGGGTAAATTGGACAATTGATTTGACCATTGTAAAAGACTTCGACCGTTTTAACTTTGAAGAAAAGATAACCCTATACCGTATCTGCTGAGGTGATTGTGACGCTCTTCAGTAGTAGGCTCTACACAGCTCATTTCTTCTTCCATGTTTGTATGTGTAGCGGTAACATTACGCTACATTTTTCTTACATAATTCAGGGAAAAAAATAGCATTGAGGCTGCATCTTGTACATTTTTTCCCATTATACTCAAGAATAGGCTACCTTGATTCTGTCCTCATGTCGCTCGTAGATATTGCACCTTCTTTTACTATCAAATTGTCCTCGAAGTTACCTATCATTCAGCTTCATTAGTTAACTGAGCCCACTTTTTGTTCTCATAAAATTGCGTGAGCGTACAAGTTCTGGACAAACATTGCTTATGGTTTTGTATGAATTTGTATTGTTTTTGCTATTACGGGATTATTTGTATCTTTATTTGTTGTGTTTAAAGTTAGCCACATGCATCGCTTGCCGTATCCATTTACTTGCTGTTGAAAGAATGAATCAGTGCCTCGTCGGTCAATATTGCCACATTGCGCAGATAATGTCATGTGATGTAACACAATGTCAGTATTACTTCATTTCTTTGTAAGTATAACCTAATTGATCGGCCAATGTGGTGTTCACGAGCTGAGTTCCGTCTTTGCATGACTAGTTCTCTGTTCATGATTGCCTTTTCTGGTACCTATATATCTGTCAGAAATTTAGGATGTTTTACCGACTTCGAGTACAAATCTTGACAAATTTGCATAATCAATGTGTGGAAAATTTGTATTGATCTCCCTAACTTACTAAGGTCGCACGAATTATGTTCATTGCATTCACTTCCTATTTAATTGCAAAATAGCATTTAGTTTCCCGTCATAGGTTGACTGTGGGACAGTTACGCTTGATTTATCTGTGCTTCAAGGAACTAAATGCCTCATCTAAATGTTCTGTGGCAACTTTTGATGCTTGTACCTTTTCTTACGTGTAAAGTTGACTCCCTTATAGATTTTACTCATTATAATTATTAGTGTATCGCAACCTAATAGTTTAGTTTCCTGTTTGTAAGACTACTGTAGTTTGAAATATTGTGTGGGTTGGTGTTCATGTTGTGTAGGGAAACTTCATTACACTTAAAGCCACACAGTATCTTCATTGTGATCCTCAACTATGTTTAGTTATATGACAATATCGTGATCGTTTGCTTAGCTATCACTTTTACAATATCCTGTCACACTCCATGCATCGCTACCGCTAGCTCAGTTCAATGGCTCTCAGATATCATTGAATCTAATGACTTGAATCTGTCATAGTTGAGTTAGTGATAGCGATGTGTGCTGTGGAGGAGAGTCTCACGAGCTTGAGTTGTTGGCTTCACTTCTTATGCAGCAGAGCGTTGGTGTGATGAGTCACTTTATTGTGTCACTTTATTGTCTTGTGCAGCCTCATGAAGCTGCTTGCCCTCAGCAAGTGTCACGCGCTTCATGACGGTGACTCGGACAGGTGAAGCTTTTCCCTCTTCTTCTCGCGTGTGCTTGATAACCCTTCTTTCTCGCCCATCATTACCAGTTAATGATACCTCTTGCTGGACACACATAATGAAAAATCGCTGCTTTAAAGCGTTTGTGTTCTCCCTATGAAGCGTGTTGCAAGAATTGCCCTCCGCCATCTGCTGGTTCGTTGTCTGTGGCTTTATTGTGACTCATTGGTCAGGTGGTTCAAAATTTGGTCCAATTGTGGCAAGCTATGAAGTAAACAGAATGTCAAAAGACTTCAAAGTTTCACTCCTTGCCAAAAAAAATCAAGACTTCAAAGTTTCACTCCTTGCTTTTCTGAATGTTCGAAAAGTGTCGATGCTCTTCCGATATAGAAATTTGTTGTATTTTATTGACATCCCTATGCTTCGTACCTCTTCTACTGAAAATGTGTCTCGATTAGCCAGAGGTGCTTGGCGTTTATTCGCACGTTTGCGTTGTCGCTAACGCATCGCTAAATTGTCTATTTGAAATTGGCTCCGCAATTGCTTCTTTTTATTGCTTCATTTTGGCCTACGATTGCAAGAAGCTCTCGCGTTGGCGATTTATTTTCTACTTACAACAAACAATCGCCCATCTCTGACGATGATTTTGAAGGTTGAGAGAGGAAAGCTCTCTGCTGTGTTTGCATTTACGTTTGAAACTGTGCTACCAATGTTTTAGAACTTCTGTGTGACTCCGCGTTGAAATAAATTTTACTTTTGAATTAATTTTGCAATTTTTTTGCCGTGTTTACCTCGAGTGGAGCCCTGCTGCTTGCATCGCTGCTGGTGTATCCTACACACAGCACCACTAGCATAGATTTGCTGGACATGCTTGCTTCACTAACCTTCCTCAAAGACCTCAACGTGTTGAGCTATCATTATTTTTAATTTTCATTTTTTATGTACCCCGTTTGCCATTTAAAACTGACTTACATCTTTTTACATCAAAGACGGATTTTACATCGCGCCTTTGTACGCGTGCCCATGAAAGAATCCATGTTTCATGCAAAGTCTTTGCAGGTTAATTGGCCGAACACCTAACTTGTAAGCAGTGTTTCATCGTATCTCTAAAATAAATCATAACTCCATTATATGTTGAACATGAGTTGTTTAATTTTTCGAATGCGTTTTAACAATGAGTGAGTAGGATGATAAACTTCTCGACAGGCGGGAACCCTCAGCAACAAAATATTATACTAGTTTTATAATTACTGTGCAGTTCTTGTATGCCGTCGTGAACTAATATTTATAATACAATATGATTATTCCTAATACAAATTGCTAAGTTTGTTAGGAATAAGAGCTACGCCGCAGCTGCTGATGCTTCGGTCGCAGCTGTACTATGATAAAAAATAACTTGACACTAAAAAGGATTTTTTTAAAACTCTGATCAAGTAACAATACTTGTGCACAAATTCCCTTACTTTACCTACTGGAATGTCAGCGTGTCTCCCGGCGGGGGGGAGTGCTTCATCCCCTCGTTTAATCTCGCGTTCATTTCTTATAAGCTGGCGATTAGTGAGAGTTGTTGCGTCTGCTGTTGGAGGACGTTTGGCCCTTCATGTTGCGCCCCACAGACTTCTTGCCTATTTTCTTCCCTAATTCTAATTCTCCCGTCGAGGGTTATTCCCCAATTTTTCCCCTAGTCCCCCGTCAATAATACCCCAAAAAAAAAATTTATTTGCGTTCCACAGACTTCTTGCCCATTTTCTTCCCTAATTCCCTGTCGAGGGCTATTCCCTAATTTTTCCCCTAATCCCCCGTCAATAATTCGTCACTAATTTTTCCCCTAATCCCCCGTCCAGACTAGTTCCCTAATGTCCCCGCATTACCCCAGGCTGACGATGAACAGGGGCAACTACCTGGGCACGGAGCTGGGCATCAAGGGCCTCTCCCACCGCACTAAGGTTACCGTCAAGGCTATGGATGCCGTGCTCTTCGGGCCACCCAAAGGTCTCTTCACTCATTATACTTTCCTTTAGAATATTAGTAATAATTTGTTTCTCCATGGTACTGAAGACTTGAATAATTCAACAAGGCAAATAAATTTTAAAGGTAGAGACGCACATTGTGTATCGTTGCAAATGTTGATATTGACTGACTCGTTTATTGGCACATCTAATAGGAAGCACTATGTAGTTGCAGAAATGATATGGCGTTCATTATATGGGCAGTGAGCCGCAACAAAGACCTTCTGATCGCCGGGCTAGTGACCGTCATTTTACTGGGTCTTGGTTACATCATCCACCGCAACCACAAAATGCGCAGCTACCACACACGTCTCATCATGGTGAGCTCGTACATGGTCCGCCAGCACGAGAAGGATCCAGTATGTTGTATTATGTTGCATGTATGTTGTGGTCTGTATGTTGTTGTCTGTATGTCTGTTGTTGCATGTATTTATGTTGTTGTCTGTATGTTGTTGTATATATGTTGTTTGTATGTTGTATGTATGTTGTCGCGGGCTCCCTGCATTCACTACGCTCACTGTACTCATTGTATTTATTTAAAAATTTCGCGCGGGCAACTTACCATAAATGTTCACTTGAAATCTTCAAAAAATACCCTAAACGGCCTTCGGTTCTTTTTTGAGGTTACGTTTCATGCTTCAGCCAATCACGAATCCAGTGACCATGGTTTCGTACATAGTAGTATCGCCCCCTACCGTGCCCAAAAAATTAAATATAAGCTTTTAAGTGAAAGTTTTGATTTTGATCATGAAATTGACACATTTTCCGCATTTTTGCAAGATCGATGTCACAATATCAATTTAATTGATTAATTTAACCTGAAATCAAACTATACCTATAGGACTTATAGAAGTTAGATAGTTGCCTTTTAAATTTGTATGCTTGAATTTAAATTATAAAAAAAAATTCGCAAAGCGACCGTATTTAATAAATTCCAAAGGTAAGATTTTACTTTTTATATGAAAAATTGTGAAAAATTTGTAGGAGTGAATATATCCTATAATAGTTCATACTTTCTTGTGCTGGTTTGAGAAATGCCAATTTCTGCCGCGAAAATATTAAGTTGCGTTCGATCAAGAATAATAAGCAACACAGCTAATATTCGACTCTATGACTTGCGCTATTTTGAACTCCCTATCTTATCCTAATGCACAATAACGCTTGTAATGAGGCAGTCTAGCATCATTGCAAGACCTATAGCACATTGACGATAAGACCCTTATAGGAAGATAAGATGGTAGTACCGTCATAGATAACTGGCTGCGATAATTGAGTTTAACGAGCGATGTTTCTAACTCCTGTTATCATAGCTTCAACTCACACAGACCAGTTTTCAGTCTTTGGACGTAAATATCATTACGACATGAAGCTGAATTGTTGGGCTCTTAGAAATACCTCTACCTTAATGATTTTCAATATGCCTGCAATCTACGGGTTATTCTGTATATTTTGAGTCTGTCTGTAGCTAAGATGACGGATTGTAAACAGCCAAAACGGTTCCCGATCCAGTTACTTGTTCAAATGTTGCTTTTTTGTCTGTAAACCTTGTGAGATGAGAAACTGTTCAGACCGCTGCCATGCATTTGTAATTGTGTAACAAAATAGTTTGTATTTCCTTGACAGCAAATAGAGGAGCTGCAGCTGGAGGAGGCAAAATACAGACAGTCTTCATCTAAGGGCGGCGACAAGCACGCCGAGGTCCTGACTTCCGACTCGCAGGTGCGCCGCGGCATCAGAATAATGAGTAGAACTGAAGACAACATAAATATCAATCCTCTTGCTAGGGACTTAAAAATAACAATCAACTGTTCCCTTCCATAAAACCCCTTGATCGCATTCAAAAACTTGTTCAATTCTACTTTCAATTTTACAAAAACATGAAGGCAATTCAGTGTGTATTTGTATGTCAGAACGACGCTCCGGACAGCGGCGTAATGGGCGACATCTCTGACCTGAGTTCGACGCACGAGGAAGACTACGACACGTACGACGGGGGGCGCCAGGGGAGCAGCGAGGACGCCCCTGACTCTGTGGACACGTGCGGATACTGCGACGACGACTACAGCCAGACGGGCGGCTCCGGCACCCCGCCTCAGGGCAGCGAGCTGGACCGCGCCTCCCTCGTGCACTGGCTCCAGGTCACGTACCAGAAGGAGAAGCACGTGCTCGACGTCAAGAGGAAGCAGGCGCAGCGAGAGTTCGCTAAAGCTAATGAAATTGTGAGTAGTTCCTGAGACGAAGTGGTGGGTAACTGAAGACAGTTAATTAGTGAGTGATTCGTCATACGGAGATAGTTGAGCCTAAAGTCGGTGAAATAGTGAATGGTTCGTGTGATGGAGTGACGGGAAAGAGGTGAGCCTAAATCCTAGAACCAGTGAAATAGTGAGTGATTCGTGAGACGAAGTGGGGTGAGCGTAAGGCCAGCGGAGTGGGTTGAGCCTTGAGTCGGTGAAATAGTGAGTGTTTTGTGGAAGGAAGTTGGGTGAGTCGTGAGCCCGCTCCGAGGCGTAAGGAATAGTGAGGGTTTACTGGAGATTTACGTGGAGAAGTCGTAAAAATTAACCGTACAGGAAGTTTAACTTCAGCGGTGGTTGCATGTGCGAATGGTGCGTAATTTGCAATAATTTTAATTGATGTAGTCAATTGTTGCTGAAAAAATATCACTCCGTTTACAGGCTTGTTATTGATTAAAAAATCATAGAATGACGAAACCTGGGCAAATTGTGCCATTTGTAAAATGCTAAATTTTCTTCAGTCATTTTAAAGTATCAACTTTATTCCCATACTGATGCCCGTCTCTTCACATTTTCCATTACCTACTCAAATCTGAGCATATTTTCTCATTCGCTCACCCTTGCCTCTTGTTGCTGAACATCGCTAATGATCTGTACATGTATCTTGGTTATTCATGATGATTGCATGGCGTGCAGTGCAACAAGCTGCGCGCCCAGGGCAAGAACCCCCTCAACCTGTTCTCGCTCATGCACGGCAAGATGGACAACGTCGAGAAGACAATTTCTCTAGCCAGGTCAGATCTCTAGCCAGGTCAGATAAAACAGTGCCTCATTTCACCAACCATCTTCATGCGATTAATTTTCAACTCCTTTTGCTATTATCCTATATCATTTCAACCTTGTCGAGCATAAGTTGATACCAGTTTCCGTAAATGTGCAAATTGAAAAAGTATCGCTTAGAGCATTATCCATAGTATCGCTACTTGAATAAGATAGTGATACTATTATTATTATCTTCTCATGCAATTTTGTAGTAAGGAAGTTTATGTTTCACAGAGCGACGATGCAAGAGGTGCAGCGTGACGAGAATGAGCGGCAGGACCGCTGGTCCGAGATCGAGCGTCTGCTGGAGTGCAACATCCGACGCATGGCTGAGCTCCACAACGTCATGGGCTCGTACACGAGCCTCCAGACCACCGCCACGGCCCCTGGCGAGGCCTCGAACATAGGTACGTCTTGTGCCGCCGCTGCCGTAGGTTCCTCAACGCAGCAGCATCCTCGCGTTCTGCCGCACCCGCGCACTCGACTGCGGTCAGAATTCCCCCGTAGCAAGTCGTCTTCTGCCCTCATCACCCCTGACGCGTCCGGGGCAAAACCGTCTAGCAAAAGCATGTTTTCGCGCACTAGTAGCCTCATGAACCCAGATCCAAAAACCGTTGTTTCTTCCAATTCTAAAGCTCCTCCCGTAAAGAATGGCCAAAGTATGCTTCCTTCGAGTAGATCTTTTGAAAATGCTGCTGATCATTTAGCTAAAACCACGACGGACAGTGAGCTGCCAGCTGCCTCTGAAATTGATGGCAGTCGTGCGCCGGAGGCTGCAAACGCTGACTCTGAACACTCCTCTGATTCTGACTCGAGCAAATCTGCTAAGGAGAAAATAAAACTGAGAATGAAGCTCGCTGGCCTACGCGGGCACTCGTTCCGTGAGAGCATCGGGAGGCGATCAGATGATAGCAGTCCGGTCGATAAGGCGCCGGTGGTAGGAAAAACGAGCAAGCCTGAGAGCAGCAGTAAAGCTAAGCCATGCAGTCGCCTGCTGCAGAAATCGCGATCAAATGCTCTTCCTGACAATGTGCTTCAAGAATTTCCCGATGCTGAGTAGATACCCAAAAAAATAGATTGGCGCCCTCAAGTAGATTTTAATGTCACGGAATATCACACTTCCGCTTTCTTGAGTTACGCTGTGTCATCAATTTCAGACTTGGTGGTCGTATTGTAAAACGATGTGCTTTTTATTTACGGAGTCATTATGTCCGGTTGAATTGTATCGCGCCTCATTTAATTATTTATAACATCAATGTCTTGGCTTTTATTAGTTGCGCCGTGGAGTGCTCGCTCTGATTAAACTGATAGGTTATAATAATACAAACCATCGCAGGTCAGCACTGAAGAGTAGTATCACTCACTGAACATATGTGTTTCTTGGTTGTGTTCACTCCTAGGAACATCATTGAATGAAACTTGTTCATTCACGTCAGTGCCGTCCATGTATGCGTGATGCCGCATGTATGCGTTCCGAGTGCCGCTAAGTTATGTGTTGTTATACTGACCAGGAGCTATACTTTCAAAACTCGCTAAGTGAACGTAAGTACTTACGCTCTATTTTCTTGTCTATTGGTAGATTTTGCTTGAAAGCCCGTCAATGATTGGCTGATGAACTTACGATCTCATAACTTTTTTTGCAGTATAGGCCCTGAACCAGCGCGACTCACAATTTCTTTTGGTAACGGTGATGAAGACAATTTGTTTCTCTTCTCGTGCCCTTTAAATAGGCCTGTTTCCTATTAAATAAAAACTGGAACGAACGAACAAAGCCCATCTAGTCGTTAAGTTTGATTTGATATGTATTTTTTGTGCTATGTACTGAGGCAAAAGTTTTAACTTGGCCATTCTGTACCACTTTTCTTTTCTGGCGAGTATGTGTACCTAGTTCTAGTACATGCGGTTATTACTTCACTTCATAATTACATCTCTATTAGTATTACTTGTAATTAGTTTACACAAGGGCTGGCATGAAGAACACTCTGGGCTTCGGAACGCCTTACAGTCAGGCTACGACGAGAGTCCTATTTTTTTTCGCCCCTAAAATTGAACCTTTAAATCACGCAGAAACTTATGTTTCTGTGTACGACTTGCATGATCTAAAACACACATTTAAAATTCCTTCGTGGCTTTCTCAAGCTTTATCTTGTTTTCTTGTGCGTTTGGTGCGTAAGGATCTTGCCTTAGGTTAACAGTTAAACTTACTCACTGTAGAAATTCTTGCCGAATGTTTTAAGGTTGTATATGGTTAATTTAAGTTAGTCTTTATTCTTTACGAGATCAATCGCAGAAGATGCTTGTAGAATATCAGAGAGCAGCGATTGTTATGCTGCACAAACTCATTTAAGTTTTAGTTCTTCTAACAATGATTATGTGATTCCTTTTAGTAAAAACCTGATATCTATTTGATGATAATCATAACCATAATTATCATTTGCGTAGTCCTAATTATTCCACTATCCGGGTCAAGTGATGTCCCAAGAACCACTATAACCATCGAACATTTATTGCACCGACTCTCAGTATCGCGACTCTTGCAAGTGTAGTGGCATGGAGCGGGTGTATTGCTGCTGCTTCATATGTAGACAGGCTGGCGGTAGACGGGGGACTAAAGCAACAAAACTTCTATTGTAACCTTCTATCTGGTCTGCGCTGAATATTTTAAGTTGAATTTATTTCTTTGCTTTTTATTGCTTCTGCGCTTTTTAATCCATGCTTTGTTCTGTTTGTATTTGGCGAATGTTTTTTTTTTTTTAGTTTTGAGCTGAACAATACACCCGCATAGAACTTACGACTGTTTTATTCACCTGCATCTTTATTGTTTTTTATTCATAGCGCACATCAGAGTTTGGCTTTTTCTCACGGATTGTGTGTTGGTTGTAGTCAATAATTCTTTTGCTTATCATTGTAGTCTAAAGTTTATTAACATGAGTTACAACAAAACTTCTCTGTTTTTCTTTTAAAGTTACAGCCAAGTCTTCACTAGTTTAAAGTTTCCTAATCAAAAATCTAGAAAGTTAGTATAATTTTGGCTTATAAAGAAGCGGTTAAATGCTATCATTTCTTTATAACAAAGAAGCAGCACAACTGAACATCGCTGCCGGTTTAAAAAGAATGCATGTATAATTCTCTAACTAACCTCACGTGGAATACTTCAGTTTTGTGTAATTCTTTCTCTATCAGCGCATCTGGAGGATTCAATTAGTAGTTCTACCCTAATTCCAAGTGTCCGAAGCTTCAAAACAATTGAAATTTTTCTTTTTTCTCCATAACTCATTCGGGTTTTGTATGATCATTTTAGGTATAAATATCTACACACATTGTCGTGCAGGTTTAAACGATGTCCAACAAAAAGAAACTGATGAATTTTTTTTTTACTGACTTGAAAAACATATTTCCCAAACATTTTCCTAACTTGTGTTTGCATGCCCGTAGTCTTGAGTATACGGCTGTGTTGAGTGCACATTTTATGTTAAGTGTGCATTTTACTTACACTAGGAGAAACGAGTTAGACTTTTACAAATAGCGATGCTGTTTTTTGCCTTCTATGGGCATCATGAATCATGCTCGGCTCGGCACAAAGGTGTATCAGTTCTACGTACATCTGCTCACTGCTCATGCTGTGTTCAAGAAAGTGCATCATTATTTGGAAAAAGTTTCATTTAAAGTTCTGAATGTATGCTTCATGCACTGCTTGCGTGCTTTACAATGCTTGTGTAGGGCACTGTTGGTGGCGAACACATTAATAACATATATTGCATAAAATGTGTAATATACCACCATTGCAGACCACTTATTTAGCTTAAGCTGTGTTTCATAATATCTACATGCGTATTTCTGTTTTGATATGTATGCTATTTTGGTTCGTATGTGTGTACTGGAACCGCGTATACCAACACTAGGCCGTACAATCAAAAATAGTTGCGAGTTCGTATCTCGGTCAGCCAATAATCGACATTTTTAGCGCATTTTCTCATTTGTGGAAAAAATGCACTATTGTGCTCGCCATGTCCGTCTGTCCGTCCGTGATTTCACGTTTTCGTCGACGATAAAATGCGCTCTCTGTCACTCACTGCAGTGAGTACTGAGTTATATTTATATTATATATACAAAGGAGAAATTGGCCTTTAGTCCTCTACGTGTATTTTAGCAAGTTTTGGTAGTACGGTCCCTAATCTTCATGCCTGTCAAGACGAGGACCAGACGATTAGCCTGTCACCAGATAATATTAGCTGGCGTACGTGTAGTACTTGAAGAAAATCCAAACATGGCCTTACAGGTTTTTTTTGGGCCAGGCAGCTTTTGCTTTTATCTGCAGTAGCAGTGGCGTAACGTTCAGTTGTGTGTTCAGTACATTGCATTCCCAGTGATCGAGTTCGTACGTCCGCATACAAGGAGATCTATATGCTTTATGTTCATTTCACTTGCCTGCTTCTTTATGTTTTCATTAGAGTTTCAGCTTATCCTGAAATGCTCTCTGGATTTCTTCCTATCGTTTATTCACAACTGTTTCTACTGAAAACCAAAAGCCGAAGACGAAATCGGAAGAATTTCTTCTTTATTATCGGGATATTTCTTCGTGGGCTCTTATGAATGTCCTTTGTCTAAAAATTTTTAAATTCAAATTCATTTGATTTGCAAATAATATTTATTATCGTTATTTCCACTTACAAAAAATTCAGTTTTTAGCATTCATGCGTAATTTCTTCGACCCACTGATTAAAGGTACTATAACAAGTAAGTCAATACAGATATCTATTTTTTGTATACATTGCTTTAATCTGGAATCATTTTTAGTATGATTATTTATTCTTTTTGGTTTGTGACTGCAGTCTCCTGCCATTGTATATATTTTAACACATATGTAAAATTCTCGAAAAGATTTCTCAGTAAACATGCATAATCTCATAATAATTTAGGTATATCTTTGGGATTCTGCCATTAATCTCACATGATGGAAAAAAACACCTAAAGCTGCACACTTGTGTTAACTGCTGACGCTTCAAATTTTAAACCTTATTAATTTGACTAAAATACCCGGAAGCGTTTTCCGAAAGGCGGTAGGCGCTTTTTGTAAGCGCTGGACTGGAATTAGCGTAATGAGTAGACAAGAGGGCAACGCGACAAGAGGATGCCAAGCGTTGGTGTTTGTGGAATACGTTGCGTGCACTCCTGCAAACCTCAACTCTTGCCTCGAAGAAGACTAACTTTATTGTGCAGTTGTCGGATTGACGGAAGATTTTATCAAAAATCGAAGGACGAGATAGAACTGAGCTACCATCATTCTCAGACAGGATGCGTTTCATATGCACATGCGCGTCTCTCATTCGCTCACATTTGCTGATATTGTGGGCATTTGTGTTACCGTGATTGTGTCGTGCAGCCTCGTGTGGTCATGTCATTGTCCTGATAACTGACGTGTGTCGTCTTCTCTTCCTGATCGTCCGCTGCCGCTGCTGCTGTGTCTGCGACGATGACGCTCCTGCTGCTGCCAACACGTCCTGGTCTCTATGGGTCTTGACGTTCTTTCGGTATCTCCACTGCATGGCATTCTCACTTCTAATGAGTGTTTTGTACAAATGTCTACTTTTTATTCGCTAATTCGTTGGCTCTATCTTTTGGTTCGGTTCCTGACGAACCTTGCATGCTTTTCTTACATATCGTTTTGGTGTGGCTTCTTTACTCCTATTATCTGCTTCACGCTCTCCGCCTTCTCACTGGTGTGTCTATGTACTTTTTTTGTTGACTATTGCTCCTCATTGTAACGTTTAACGGATCGTCGCACTCATGCTACACTTAACACGTTACGCTTCACTGGGGCACTACTATTATTCACTACATGACTTTTTCTCCTAACATTATTTGGAGCGCCTCAATATATCACATGTGTGTAATTAATTTGCCTCCTTCTTACTGACTGCTGCGCGGCACCCATCGCGCTAATCGTTTGTGCCCTACATTATGTTTAATTTTTTATATTGTGTGGTCTTCTATCACGCTTACAATCCAATGCATTGTATTGTGTGACTACTAATATCTTAACCCACATTCTACGTGATTTTGACTGCACTCTCGTTGGTGCCGTATTCCCTGACCCATCGCGTGCTGCGGTGCATTCTTTCATATCACGTCTCTACTTACCTGCCTACACGTCCTCCCTCTTGATCCCTCGTCATGACGTGCATCTTGACGTCGTCGCACTCCCTCATGGTCCCCTCATATTGTCCCCTCTGTCGTGCCTCCCTGCGCGAGGCCATGGCATTCGCAATCCCGATATTTTCCTGATTTTGTGTTTTTCTCTATTGGGTTTTGTTTTTTGTGCCTTTCTATTTTGTTTGATATCTTTCATCGTCGTCTGAAATTCCATTATTTGAAGGGCATGTATTCTGTGTACTGTTCAACCATTTTTTTGTGTTTAAAACTGAATTACTTATTTGTCATTAATTTCTTTCATCTTATTTATTTTCACTCAATTGCACAACGTATCCTCAATACTATGTTCCTTCGATCGGTAACCCCTTTAAAACTGATCCCGTATTACCGTGCATATTGGGTGATATTTGTGGTCTTGATTGCCTTGATTGATTGCATTCGGAATTTTACTGACAAACGTAATTACATTGCGATATCTGTGGGCGTGTATTGTTGATCCTTGACTGTATTGATGAGTATCTTACGTATCTCACACATTCTGTTGACTTACCGACTTGTTGGGATTTGTACCATTACCGATCTACCTTTAATATCATCATCGTTTGTGTTGCTTACACTCGCGGTTCACCTCCATGGACTGTTGCACTACATTAATGACCCAACACCGATTTCATCGACACCTCTCTAATCGAATATTTTTTTCATCATCAATCATGATTCCGAACCAAAACTTCATGTTGGTCATAATATCCATTTTACTTCCTTTCCTCGCTGTCTTCACGAGCGTCTTCATTATTTTCTGACCATCGGTAACGCGTGTACCCACCTTCCGCTCACCTGTGCTCAACCTCTTCTATCCACTACCACACCTGCTCACTTCCGTCCCGCCACTTCTTGCCACAACCATTGCGTTCTGCTAAACCATTACATTCCACTACCACAATAACACTCTTTTGTTCCACCACTTTTTCCTACTTTCACATCTGCACGTCTGTGCCCCACCACTCTTTTCTTCTCTCTGCTGCATTTAATTTCTCCTAACCTCCTCGCCCTGCCCACTTCTGTTCCACCCTTGCCTGCTCACCATTTCTTCCCACTTTCATAGCGTCTCTCCTCTCATCCCCACTGCCCTCCTCTCCCCCTGGTGCCGCGAAAGCAGTTGGCCAGCTGCTAGGTAGCCAGTCCGCCCTTATGTTCCTGACTATGGGAGGCTACCCTGCGCTGCTGGGCTCGGGGGACCCTAGAGCGGCACCCCCAAGCTCCAGCAGTGCAGGGGCTCACTCTTCTGGGGGCAACCTGTTCACCACAGTCACCTCACCTTCGTCTTCCTCAAACCTACAACACTCATCCCCCTACTCGACCATGACCTCACTGCAGCAGCTACAGCAGGAGCTGTGGTGTGGCGGTGCAGGGGCCTGGGGGCGCGCATGTAACTCTGTCCCTCCTCCCTCTGCAGCAGAGACCAGGAGCAGCGCTCTTAAGGCCGCTCTGGCGCGCTGCCCCCCACACAACCTCTCGATGCAGCACAGCGCCACCGCCTCCACAGGTCGGTCCTGTAGTGCCGCAGCTGTTGTACGTACCGTGTTAGCTTACCATAGAGACCACGCACCATCATACTTGTGGTATGATGATTTTTAATTTGTTTTTATGGGAACCTCCTACGTTATGAGCTAATTTTATTTTCCAATATCAATACGTGATAATTACCCCTAAATTTCCAATATACTGCAAAAAGAAAATACATATGCGTTTCAAGCAGATCTGACATATTTTCAAAGTTAGGTTCAGGATTTTTGAAGTGATGAATTGATGTGACAGAGTTGGGCGGTCGTTGCGAAGACGAGGTAGACAGCATCAGCCTGCCGCGGAGTTCTAGTGTGGGCAGCACGACGGCGAATCGCCTGCCTTCGTCCTCTTCACACCAGCACCTGAGCAGCGAGCACGCTGACGCATCGTCGTCGTACAGCCACGGGTCCTCGTCATACGGCCACGCCGGAGTCGCGAGACCTCCACTCAGGAAACCTCGTCGCATGAAGGCCTCCTCTGTCAAACTCGCCCCCTGCAACGGAATCATCCCGAGCGCTGCGAGTGTCATCACCACTCCACCGCCCGTCGCCTCCATACCTGAGGCGCCCAACAATGTCTCTGATAACCCTGAGTGCCCCTCTCACCAGACAGCTCTCTTTTCCATGGGGGGAAGGTTAGATCAATAGGGGTTATTAAGCTTACACATTGTTCTTCGGAACTTTCATTAGCATACCCGAACCTTGATCAAAATGATAGTGCGTCTACTAGCGCCAAGGATTCATGTGTTTTTACAGGCTCCTATAAGAATTTTTCTCACGTAAGTGCCTTCTTTGGGATCGGTTTCACTGGTAAATGTGCGTCACAAAAGCTTTTGTGTGCAGTGGTGATTTGACTGGTAAATGTGGCTGCCAATAAGGTCCATGTGTCCAGTGTTGTAAATGTCCATCCAAAAAGTAAAGCGTGTGCAGCTCATTTTGCGCTCGTAACATAATGGGATTATAATACAAGGTGTTCGGGCGTGCTCGCTTTACTACTTGTCGCCTGATTTGCTTTTAGCATTCGTCGAACTCATAAATCAATTAACTTTTCAGCCAGTTAAAGGTTCGGCTTGTGCTATTTTCTCGTACCTTTCCTGGTTCTTGAAATCCCTTCTCTTTTCTTTCCTTCATGCTAATTTAGAGTTTCTGTCTTCCTCTTCTTTTTTCACCACTGTCACGCTGCCTCGTCCCTTTGGGAGTAGAATTCAAATCTCCGTATAGGGCCGCGGTGCACAGAGTTTTAACTCGTCGTTTGTTTTATTTCCGGTTCGAGATTATCGTACTTTTAGGTCGACTTTGCGCTTGTTTTTTTCCGAAAAGTTTTGTATAATTGCATAACTATGCCACTTTATGCACTGTTAAGACTGTGCCGAGTTTGAGAACCAGTTGCGCATTCGCTTTAGAATCACGACTGCAATTTTCCCGCTTGTTGGTTGATCCAGAAGCTCGCCCGCTCAACTGAGCACGTCTCATGATTGTTACTGCCTGGCTATTGCTCGTGTTCGGATTCATCCTTAAATTATTAATTGAACGTGAAGAATTAACATGAGTTTTAAATGAACATATTAATCGTTTTTATCATTAAGTACCTCTTAAAATTTCTGCTTTTAAAAATCCTGTCGTTTTTCTAATGTGATGTGACGTGTAAATATTGACTTTACACGAACGCTGCGGTGGGTTTAGATGCGTTACCTAATCGCTTGTTTGGATCCCGTCTGCTTAAAATAACCTAACCTCCTCATTGCAGCCCCCTCACGATGCCCCCCTCAAGCTCCTCGCCGACCCCCCTTCAGGAGTCTCCGGCGTCCGATTTGTTAACCCCCGTTGCCCAGGTGAGTCTTCGTGGCATGTCTTCCGTTGTGCTACGTATCTTTTCTAAAGGTCTATTAGTTCATGTTTATCATGGCACTTCGCATCAATTCTTAGGCTTCATCTATGTTTCTGTTAGAGTTTAACTTGAAATTTTAAGGGATTTCATAGTAAGATGTTCCAAAAAGCATCTCCCATGCGCATTCTCTTAAAAGTTTTAAGAAAATTATTACTTTAAATGTATATATAAATTATTATGAAAGTATGAGCTCAGGAAATGCAATTTGCGAAATATTGAAGAAATTTTATCCCTGGGGCGCCTAGGAGGGCAAGAAATCGTGCATTTATTAGTTCAGGAGGGATTCATTTTTAGTCACAGGCTTTTCATCAATCCTGTACATCTCCCAAAGCCGCTCTAGCCATCACCGGGAGTTTGCATAAATTTTGAGATTTATACATTACACAAAAAAATCGACATAAAATAAAACGAATGCGTTAGAATTAATTGATTAAAAATTCATGCGTCTTAAGTTATGTGATATTCCAATTCTATATAAACTTATGTACAATTTGTCTACCTAAAATCTAATACATGCATCTCAACCTTGCAGGGTCGAATCTATATATCTTTACCGTTTATACCATTCAATATTGTGTCCCAAATGCAAACATTGATTTAGGAATAAGACATGCAAGCGGCCCACAACGCGTGGCCGCAGAAATTAGTTTGCATTTCCTCGGAACATTGATCCCTTGACTGGATCACTAAATGCTTCATTGCAGCCAATTATTGTTCAAACAAGCCATATGTTCTATTTCCCATTTACGTAATGCTCAAATCAAATTTGACTTTGCGAGCCAATGCAAAATGTTTCATCCCGGTAAAACTTGCTAAAGAATGCACTCTCGGATTGTAGACTAAAAAATAAAGTGCAGTATAAACTGCATGATTAGAATTGAAGTTTGCATCATAAATGCATATATTTGGCAGCACGCCGTTTCGCTATAAGGCTTCTGTTGCGAAGAGTAGCAATTCCGCCTTCATCGTCTGGGATTTGTAGTGTAAGAGGTTGCTTCTCTGGTGCACCTCTTATACGTATAATAATTATATGAAAGGCCTGAGGTTAGTTCGGGTTTCTTATGTGATCAGAGGATAAATGAGGCACAGAGTAAAGAACAACAGAGTACTTATTTATAGAGTAACACAGCTTACAGTTTATGGGATTACAGATAGAAGTGTGAGTTTAACACATTTGTCTACGCTCACGACTCGAAGGGGAATGAGTCGAAGAACCTATACTCGGCAGTTCTCGGTCTTGACTGACGCTTCTCGTTTGGTCAGAGAGCTATATCTCGTTCAGTGAGTGACGTCGTTACTGAGATAGACAAAAGAATGAACCTATCTAATTTCGGATGGCAGCTATCAATGGGGTAGCTTACAGTAGCGAGTCCTACCGTATCGTGAGATGCATCACATGGGAGTTTGGCTCACTACGATTTATAGGTTTGGTGTGGATTTTTGATGGTTTCTCTTCATACTGTAACTGAATTTCAATTTTGTCTTTATATTGCGTTAAGTTTTCCCTACCACCGCTCTGTACGCTCTGCAGTCGGCGAAGTGCCTTGAGTTGGTGAGTGTATTATAATTTTTCTAGGCTAATTATCTATGCGTACTTCCCCCATTTACTTTAAGCCCTAATTTACTCTCAGATACTCTCCTCTACCGTTTTAAATCCCTGCTTCCTTGCATCTAAAATCTTCAGTAAATATGATCATTTATTCATGCTTTATTTGAGCTGTACATAATCTGGCTAAGACGCTTCTGGACTGTACGGTATCTGTGCTACAGGTGGTGCAGCTTGGCGGTGTAAGCGGTAGCAGCAGCGACCCTGCACTCAGCAGCGCAGGGGCCCTACCTTCCCACCACCGCACCCTCTCCCAACTCCCCTCCCCCATAGACCCTAAACTCGCCCCCTCCTCTAAAGCAAGGGTTAAGAAGAAGTCCTTCCTCGAACGCCTCGCCAGCACCCGCAAAAGCTTTCAAATTAAGAGCTCAAAAAGCTGAATTGCCCTAGCTTATGTCCTGCATGTAAATATCATTATGAAATAATGGTTATGTAACTCAACCAGGCTTAGGTGCGGTTATGGTTGCATTATATAAGCGTTGTTATTATACCAGAGGTACTATGTACGTTGCTCGATCGTCGCTCTCAGGTGTTGCTGTTAGTATGCATGCTATTCACCCGGATGCGCTTGCTCTAAGTTGGGTATTATTTATTTGTGAAGTAATGTGGAGAGCTATCACGTTTGGATGCCGTTCTCTAGCTTGTAGGTTACAACGGTGCAGTTATTTATCATTTCCTTGCTAAATATATTATGGTATGATGTTTATACACAATTAACATTGCCTGAACACATAAGTTGCCTGTCATGTAGCTCCAGTAGATAGTTTTGAGTCCTGCCACTACACAGGCGAGTTCCCACTTTTGTCCGATATCATCTGTAAAAGGCTTACGTTGGCTAATTATAACTCAATGGACTCCACGTAGTCCGTTCACTTTTTTCCGTATTTAGTCGAAGGAAAATCTGTTCGAGAGCAAACCTCGACGAAGAATCGTAATTTGACTTCGTGGGAGCTACAAAATGGACGGGTTTCACGTTGTAAAAATTTTCATTTAAATTAAAAAAGCAAAATTAACATTATTATAAAAATTAAATATTGTGTGTAAATGTGCGTACCCTCATATTTTTTTCTGATTTTTTGATGGCGTCAGGCAGCTGACTTAACTAGAAAAGTCGATGGGTTCAAGAGAGCGTAGAAAGATTAGATTTTCAGAGCAGATACCTAAGTTGATTTATTGGTTTAGAATCGAGTATCGAATGAAGGTGGAAAAAAACATGACCTTTATTTAAATATTTCATTTTTTTTACACGTTTAGTAAGATTGAGGAGATGAAGAGTCATCACTAAAGCAAATGCAAGTCTAAGTTAGCGGCGACGGCGTCCGCCTCTCTGGCATTCCTTCCCCTGGTGATAGCTGCTCCTCTATTGAGGCAATGCACCTGAGTATTATTATTTATTTGCTATCCATTGTGGGGCCATCCCCTGACTAACTCTAGAATTAGCGAGTCATCCTGCACCTGATAGCTTAAGTACCTCGTCAGTTCTAGCGAAGAAATTATCAACATTGGATGATATAAATATATTAATGACAGATTTTAAAGCATAGAATATGATATGGTTTTAAAGCGTTCTGAGGGTAGGATCAATTCTCCACTAATTTTATCACATTTTCCTTTTCTGTAACGCCCTTTTAATACTCGGCATGTTTTATTGCAGCATCAGTTTTCCTGCCCGCTATTCCAGTTCTCTTGAGCAACTTTTCTTGCCTTCATGTCGAACAACATAGTTGGCATTCACCATAGCTGTGCAAAGTGCATCACGTTTTTGCAGCTATGTGGGTATGCGTATATAATTTTGTAAGGAAATAATTAGCTTGTTACTTCTGTCCTAGATCTATAATTGCTTCCTATGCGGTGTCGCCGTTTGCTTGTTCGTTTTGTTGTGTCGTAATAATGCGATGAAGTTGCCAGGAGTTGTCTCATGTTGCAGTCTGTGTTCCTACCTGTACAATCAGGGCTGTGAGGCCGAACCATTCCTCACGAGCTCATCTCCATTATTTAAAATCTAGAGTTGAGAGTTGATTTGTTCGATGTTGTTTTAAATTTACCTTGATCCAGAGATTATTACTATTATTGCTTTGTTATTTTGCTCTTCGTCAGCTTTTCATGTGAAGTTCATATTGTTACGAGCGTAACCCAATAAAGCGTCAGAAAAAGGGGCAACCCCAATAGGAAATAATTTTACAACATAAGCGGTTAAAGGTTTTTTTTCGTGGATGTTATGGTGTTTTCGTAAAAATCTAAATAATGATAAATGAAATGAGTTGCTGCACTTACATTATCTGCGACTTACGTTTTTTAGTTCACTGTAGATCACTTCTTTTTTCAGTACCGAACTAAGCGTAAGAGGCCGTCTCTGTACATATATTGATTCTGTAGATCATATGTACACGCCAACTCGCACCCCAGTTACTGGACGTAGGAGTTGCTACTTAGACTTCATGTGGAAAAATGAGCTAGCTAGCTGGGCTCGCAAATTTTACCAGTAATCAGGCATTATTGAAGTAATGATAATTCGCCGTACCATTCCACAATACGAGTCTCCACTTAATTGTATATATAAACGAGGTGCAATTATATACTTCACCTTATATCTAGTATCACGTCAACAGACTAGCCTTTTTATTTATCTCTAAACGTGAATTCTAATTTAATTTTTCATGCGCTATCTTCGCCTCTCAAGTATTCCTTCTTAGAGATTTTGTCTAAATAATTTTCAAGTGCAGTGACTGCTCAAAATTCGACCTATTTTTGTTTATAAATCTCACTTTAAGCTTGATTATGTTTGTATGCTTTGATTCGATGCAAATGCATTAAATTGTCTTTAACTTGCTACATCACCTACAAACGTGACTATTCGAATCTTGTATAGTTTTATTTTGTTGCTGGAGAAGTCATTGAATATGTGGATGGGATAATAGGGATAGCGGCTTCCGCTACCGAATTGACGTCTGCCAGGGTAACTGACCGTTTAAAAATAAATAAAAAAATAAAAATAAATAAATAAAAAACGGAAAAAAATCCGTTTAAAAATAATGTAGTAATTGTTTCAGCGATGTAGCGGAAGTGAGCTGGAACTTACTTCACTAAGATTGTACGTTAAAAGTGCCGTTGTGTATATTTATTTCTTTAGCTTATTTCATTTTGATGTTCTTCGTTGGTCGCAAGGAATCGACTAGGGAGCTTTTTTTGCGGTAAACCATGCATCATGCGACATGTTTCAGTGCAATTATCTCTATCTTGGATTTTGTTTCTAATTTAAATTTGTTATAAATAATGTACGTTCAGAATATTTAAATTTTGGAGGCCTTAGCTGCTTTTCTTTTTTTCTTTGAGTGATATCTTCTTGCCATGGAAGGTTAATTCTTTCACTTCTTGTACTAAGTTATTGTTCTTCGAATTATTCATACATCCCGGTCTTTAGTACGGGATGGATTAGTATGTAGAAATTCGGAGGATATAATCACAAATTTTGATTGAAATAATTAGCTGTCTAATGTATAGAAGCATGTATGAGATCAGCTTGGTATACGTAGTTTTGGAATAGAACTTTCTATCGAGTGAGATAAGTTCTAGTATTCTCGCTCCAGGGTGTAAGTTCTTGTTCTCTACTCCTTATTAATTACGCATTGTAATTACTGTTGAGCACTCACATGTTTCTTTTCATCTGGCTTCTTTTTACATCAGTAACTGATCTCTCGTATAGTAAAATGATGCATTAAAATTTTAATTTCTCGAGGCCTTCGTTATTCCTGTCAGATTTCGATAACTGTTCTCACGTTGATATTCCGTGCGATGAGTACTCAGGCCGGAAAAGAATAATACGCCTCTTTTACCCTTGAGAAATTTAGTTTTTATGAACATAGTCACTTCCTAGTTTTCGAAGAGCAATAAATAAAATGACATTAGTTACTTTTTCGTTTCTTTGTCATTTTCTTTGCAATCAAATCAAATTGTTGAAATCAAATCAAAATTTTTCGTTCGTTAAATCTTTCAAATCCACATGGTGTGCGATCACCCCCGATTAGCATTAAAATAGTTCTGAAAGACCAGCTAGTGACGTGATGGCTGAGTCAAGGGTATCGAAGTGTACCATGCTAGAGTAGCATCGTCAGTAACGCTTGGATAAAAATTTCAACAAGCGTTCGTACACTCGGAACTGACGCCTAGTTTCAACAATCTAACACTAGAAAGAAAAAAACAATTAGAAGTTTAATTCTGTTTCTTTGACACTATATATATGTCATACATGAGATCGCTAACACTGAGAAACGAAGATTGCCATGAGAGTTAATGATGAGGTTCTCACATTCATCATTCATCTGCCACTGTCTTGCTATCGTCTTTTTCTGCATTCGCTTTTTCGCTTTCATTGCCAGCGTGAGCGGAGTCTTCTGCGCCCTCCACGCATCCCTCCTGCTCGACGACCTTATCAGAGGTGTCCTTCTGCACCGGATCATTTATCGAAGTATTGCCAGGAACATCTGCACTGGCAGGAGCAGCCAACTCGTTCAAGTTATACTTCTTGTAAACTCCCAAGTATGATGGAGCTATGCCGATATAACAGTTGGTGACGATGATGCTTACAACTAAGGCAACCTCAGCATCTTTTGTCAAGACTGGCTTACATTGCGGTGCATTTTCTTCCATGACTTTCAGAACAACGCTCAGTACTTCTTCTTTCTTGACGGCACTATTGCTCATCACTTTGATTACCGCATAGAAGCTTTTCTGTGAACCGTCAAACTTTTCAGTACAGAGAGCAGCGAGAGCTTTTTCTATCTTGTCAAGATACGCCTTACATACCGCATGCACCGGCAGCAATCGGATAAGATGCTTCGTGCGTGCCAATTTGGTCTGTAGGATGTCGTCCATGGCGGCGAGTAGGGTAGGTAAAGGATCGGCTAATGTGGTGCGGAAGAAAACGTTGTTTGCAGCACCACAACGAATTGACTGAAAACGGCGTTGTACTGCATTACCCTTCTGGTTTACAGACTGTGATGCAGTTTGCAATCTGGCGACTTCTTTCTGCAAAGAAGGGATAGATTGAACAATTAATGGAACACGTAAAGATAGCATTAACGCACTCATATTGGAACGATAGTTATTTATCAACATTTTCATTATAGTTTAAAGCTACCTGTAAAGCGGCATCAGCATCTTCCTCGGTATCGGAAACTTCAGCATCCTGTACTTCATCTGCCTCGGGAGCTTCACTGCCAGCTGTCGAATTTGATATGGAATGAATATAAAATTAATTTTTTATCGGCTATGGCCAAAGTCTTACAAGGAAAAATCAATAAATTCCAATACATACATAATTAAATGAAACCCTAACTCTTATTAATTGAATCTATTTGCGTTCTGTTTACAGAACAATTTTCTTCAAGGAACTATCAGTTGTGGGCAAGGAAAGAAAGTGCGGGTTAAATGAAATATATACTCACGATTATTTATTGATTAACTTATGACAGTTGAAGAACATGTAAAATAGTTAAGTTGTATACTAACCAATCTGTTCTGGCCCGTACAACTTGTCAGCGAAGCAGTTGAGCAACGAGTAGCCTTCTTTGACACAGACATCCTCGTGTGTGTTGCATGTAGCCAAGTACCCCACGCTGCCTATGATGGTATCTAAACGCTGCTTCTTGTTTGGTGGCAAATAAAAACTCTTCTTCCTTTTTGAGAACTTTCCCATATTTGAGAGATTTATGTAACAGTTTATTGAAATCAATTATTATTTCTGGAGTCAGGAGAGTAAAAGAACAAATCAAGAAGAATAAAATTCAGAAAATATGAATTATTTTCTCAATATTATCTAGCGACTGTCGAAATTAGTGGGATTTGAACAGTGAACCAAGAAACAGCACATACATGTGGAAATAGATGAAGAAAACATCCCTAGAATCGAGAATTATAGGAATGGCGGAATAAAACTTCATGGATACACAAATCAAGTCTTGATGGCGCACATGACATCTACACTCGTAACTGTAGGATTGTGAGGTCGTACATAAGAATGTCTAGGATAATTATTTTATCTACAATTTGTGCTTGGATTTATTCGTCAAGTTATGCCCTATTGTTCATACGAGACTCTCTACATAGCTCACTTTGAACCCAATGGTTTTTCATGAAATCGAACTAGGAGCAGAAACAATTGAAAAGTTCTCTGTTGTACACTTGATGCAGCTACAAAAGGAGAACGAGACTTCTGTACGCAATAACGCCCTATAATAATGCTCTCAAATATAAGCTTGACTACCTACTATAATACCAGTGGATCAGTGAAACAATTCATGTAGTACCAAAAATGGATGAAAAGGAAATAAATGTTTGTTATAAACACAGATGGGCGATCGCAATCAAACATATCCTTGCGCAGTGCGAGAATGAACATTCATGTATTCATGACCGTATTTACGCTCAATGCTAGCAGCTGCCGTCAGCGGAGGCTGCAACATCATATCTTCATACTGCGCGGCTGTGCAGTACAAGACTATTAGGCGTATAGTGACCATACATACTGTTCAGTGCCAGCTGCTGCTGAGCAATCGTATACTCGAGCCACGCATCTATGCACCTATATTTCCGTAATAGTGATTGTACATACGTTCAATGTTGGCAGCCGCTGCCGACGAGGCCAAACGATCTGCACAAACATCTGTGCCAATTGGTCAGATTGATATAATCCTGGGTAAACTGTGCAGTCATTTAGCTCCAGAAAGCTTGGTTGCCATGGGAAAACTTCTCCAAAAACTTGCATCTTCCTGAGACCTGAGTGTGGGCTAATAACATTGAAATGATAATTAAACCCTGACATATATTTGATTAAGAAAGTAGAATGCACATGTTACATTTTGAATACTGTCTTCCAGGGCTTAGAAAATAAATACTTTGCTTAAAATCAAAGTCATGCCTAGAAATTTGTTTTGACTGCTGCTAATGTGATAAATTCATTACTGACTGCTCTTAAAATTGAGTTGAGGATTGGAGACGAGATCATCATGGAGGTGGTTCATTGAGGTCATTTTTAGCTATCCAACTTTCTCTTCAACACCAGCATTGATATTGCCTGCACAACAGAAAATTTTGTGTCCAAGTAACTAACTTCAAGCCTGCAATGAGGAATTTCCAACTTATTAGTAAAATTTTGCTGTCATAGTTACATTCTCAATAAATTCAAAATTTTGTGGCCAGATTTTATTAGCAATTAGGTAGATGGCACTGGAGGTAATCCATCATGGATGATGGAGGAATCTTGCAGGTTGCAGCTGTAAAAATAAAGATAAATAGACAAAAGGCTCTAGTTGCAGCTCAGAGCCTCAGAAGGTAGTAAGGTACCATCAATGACACACAAGTTGCTACTTGGTAGATACTGCAAAGTGCAAACCTTGCCAATGCCAGGCTCATTGCTGAACTAACCTTTGAATGAACTGCACTAACCTTTCTGCTCCTAGCTGAATAATACTGGTCAAAGCTATGTTTTGTAATGTTTAATAACCACGAGGTCAAGATGATTACAAACTACCAAACTGTTTTGATTGTGATAGTAAAGCAGAAAGATGTACCTAGTTTAGTTTCTATTCATAAAATTGATAATTTTTATAGAAAGTATGTAACATGACAAGTGCTGTGTCTGAGTGTGGCAAGCAGGATTAAAAATGTCCTACACATTAGTGACATTACTGAAATATTGCAGCTCCAAAGTAACTAATTCTAAACACATTTGAAATTTTATTGCTAAATCATGCAATTTGGTTAAAATTAGATAGAAGATAATTAATTTGTCTAGTGGGAATCTTCTGATTCTAAAAATGTCTGAAAAGCTCTTGTTGCAGGCAGCAGACTGCCTGTTCAAAAGGATAAGGTAGACGTTTTCCACACCAGACTACATGCAGCAGACTGCCTGTTCAAAAGGATAAGGTAGACGTTTAAAAAATTAAAATTTTCTTAATTAAAAGCTTAATAACTGTTAATTAAAAGCCTACTTAAGTAGTGCTCAATATTCAATAGTGTTCTAATTCAAAGCTGTGTCGTATTCCAATACAGCTCACACAGCGATCGAAATTCAAACACGTGGATGTCGGAATTACGTATTAGTACAATTTGAAGTGCGGTCGGAATACGTCTCACCACGTGCCAAATATAGTCACACACAGTGTGGGAATATTATTAAATATAGGGATTTGGTAGGTGTTGTAATATATAGTCCTGATTTCTATATGAATAAAGTTCATAATAAGATGACTATCTGATGTTACATGGTCAGGCTTCAATACCTATACCGTATCAGTCTCAATGTACCCGTCGAGCTGACATGTTCTAACTACCGCCGTAATGTAATGTAAGTTTTCTACCACGTACATGCTGACTTTAAATCTGCCGTTTAATTGTTTGTTGTTGTTGTTATATTTGTTATGTTGATTAGTATTTAATGTCGGTTACTCTCTTTTCAGGTAACCGGATATTTGTTTGAGTACCACACTCAGGAAGATGTATATAAACGGGGAATTTTCTCGCGTATATATAGCTTTTTATATTTCGTTCGCGCACGCGTTCGCGTAAATCACGGTCATCGATTCCACTCGGCGCGGGCCGCGGAGCCGTCCGACACAGTTCTGATTTAGACACAGTTTTCATCTGAATGGAATGGCAACATCGTCTGTAGATTTCAAGTAACGCTGAACGATCTTCGAGTGTGATGTGTCCCTCTGAAGCTATTTTCATTTTTATTAATGTTTGTTGTTCGCCTCTATAATTAACCTTCATCGTTGCAATAAAAATGAAAATTTATAATTAAGATAGATTTCTTCCGGTGCCTGTGACCTGTGTTTTTGATGCAATTAGCACTTATTAGTGAATGAATGATTTGCGGTGTGGTTCTTTAATCTTGACTTCTGCAGTTCGCGCAATCCCGTACGATTACTGTACGTTCCGTATCCGCAAGCGGAACGCGGAAGAGTCAGAAGTAACCTGGACATGTTCGACTCGCGTCAGTTCGACTCGCGTAGTCAATATACTCGCATAGTGGCAAAGCAGAGAGTTTTTTAGACTCTCCCTCAAGTTCATTTTTGAGTCCTATAAGTAGACTAGTAAAGTATCCTGGATACTAGCATCCATAGTGACAAAGCAGAGAGTTTTTTAGACTCTCCCTCAAGTTCATTTTTGAGTCCTATAAGTAGACCAGTAAAGTATCCTGGATACCAGCATTATCATACTTAAGAAATTGGTTTAAATCTTGAGTAAATGAGGAAATTCAAAATGAACTGATTCTAAAAAAGCTCTGGTTTGCCACTATGTATACTCGCGTATATTGTCGACTTTCTAAAGTACGGCGCACGGCGCATTTTTTTTTACCAGCATTGTACGGCGCACCGCGCAGGTCGTTAAAATGACAAAAAAAATTCCCGCGCACCTGGCACATCTTCCTGACCATGGTTTGAGTAAAGCTTGAATTGCCAAGTATTACTTATTTCACAACAGTAGGTTTGCATTCTAAAGGCTTTTAAATAAATATGGCAACATTTTGTGACGTTTCAATTGTTGCTGGTGCATCGTGCGGTGTTTTGAGAGTCACTTAAAGCAAACAGAACTCGAGTAACGCATACGTTTTTTTTATAGTTTTTCATTTCTCGATGCGTCCTTAATGTGTCGGAATATACCGCGTTTACCCTAATTAGATATTAGCCTCATTGCTTACAAGTTACAAATTCAATGGGGATTGGGCCATGGGGACTGGGGAGTGGGGAGAGTATTAGCCAATACTGTTTCAAAATCATGCTTGAGAAGTTGAGCGTTGAGTGCTACTGTGCTAGGCTTTCAGTTTCAACTGCTAAATTTGTATTTTGTAGTACCTTGGCCAACACACAATCTCCTGCCGCTGTTACCCTGTTAGGCTAGGTATATGATGAGAAGGAGGCAGCAGAGCGCCAGAGCCAGGGCCCAAAGGCAGGGGCAGAGCCACAGCCACTGAGCCAGACTCCACCACTCCAGAGTCCAGAGGGCGAAGAAGCAAGGTGGGCTGGCCTGGTAGGCAGGGACTTGTGATCCGGGTACCTAAAATTAGACGGACACGGAGTCACGGACTGACGGACCCAGTGGGCACTGGGCCGTGCCCCCGGCCCCGTGGTTCGTAGTTTTCGTACCTATACTATTCTTCGTAGACGTAGAAATTAGAATCACGTAGTATATAGAGAACTTGAGAAGTACAGTCAAGCGGCGAGCTGATGGAAGCTAAATTAATTGATTCTTCTAATTGCAACTTTACTTAATCATGAACGAAAAAAGACTTCTTAAATTCATGATGATGTTGACTCGATGAACGTTACAAGCGCTCCTAGCAGACGCTGAAATGGTCACAATATGGCTAACAATACATCCAGGGAATGTCGCGGAGAATCAGACGTTTCCGAAATTTGAGGAGAAAGAACAGTAATTAAAATAATTTGCGTTCAAAAATTACTTTTTAAAGACAACTCTTCTTAGGAGGCCAGTGTATCCTATGTTACACATGTTCAATGAAGATCTCACTTCATTTTGAAATAGTAAATAAATATATTTATAATTTTTTAATAAAAAATTCTAAATTTTCAAAATTATTTATTCTGTTTATTGATTCGTGCATTATCTCCGACTTTGAATAAGTGTGCCAAATTTCAGATCGATTGGATTGATTGATGTGTGTTAAATCGATTTTAAGATTTATAACAGACAAACAAACAATTAAACAACAAGGAGTGAAGTTAAAGAGAAGTGTTGTAATGATGCTGCGTCTGCAAAAACGCCTTTAAGAACAGAGTAGACGAAGCTATGCAGGAG